ATTTTGTTTAATCACTTTATTTCAACTTTTTTTGCTAATTACGTATTCGCTCGAACTTTGTTAAAATCTTAACTGTATCCCGAACAACAACCGAAGTTGTAGGAGGAAATTCGCCTATTTTACCGATCTAAGTATCCCCTTTTCCAAATTTTAATATTATGTAATAATTTAAAAAGACAAATTACAATAAAACAGTTTATTATCCAACTATTAGAAATTTCACAACATGCCAAGGAAGAGAGGAAGGAACACTTAAATAATTAAAATTATAAAGGATTTAAAAATATATATAAAATGGGAAATATCGCACTTCTGACAATCGCAGCGAGTGTGTGGGCTAAATTTGGAGAATCCGTGCTTCTCGCATGGACAACTGTATGTGGCCGGCTCACGCGTCGAAAAACCTTCCGATTTATTCGTGTACGCACCAGACGGAAAAACAAAAAATATCGTGTATCCACAAAACTCCAATAAATAAATAGAATTGAAACGACACTTTGAAATGTTTTCCCGATGAAAAATGAATAATAATAATAATTAGTTTCAATAAAAATAATAAAATGTAAATTGAATTTTGTCATAACGAGTTTGCTTGAATTTCGTTTCTTCTGAGATCGCAGCAATGCGCGACAGGTAAGCTAGTAATTTATAAAGTTATAATAGAAGTGTTATGTTTTGTATATTTTCATGATTGCAGACTAAAGAGCTAATAGGAGGCAAATAAATAAATTTCCCATTTGTGTTCTGATTGAATACGATAAACAAAACGATCTGACAAAAAGAATGGCGCTCAGGAAAGAATGTCGTGTTGAAAAATGGTTCCACTTTTGGCGTATATACACCAAGAAAAGTTGGAAATGTAAACATATTCAATTGGTGAAATCAATTGTGTTTGTTTACATTTTGAAGTTTACAATGAAAAATATTAAATAATATGTTTTATATTTTAACAGCATGCTTGTCCATTCCCGAAATTTTTACAGAATCTTTTATATTTGGAAATATTTCATAAAATTTTTGAGCTCGAGAAATTTAAGTGTACGGGCATTAAAGTTTCAAATACATAATAAAACAGCAAAATTTACATAATGTATGAAATGACAATATATATGAAAAAGAAAAGAAATCACTAGATGCAACACAGTTTACAATTAAACGATATATAAAACTTACATTCATGTAAATTAGATTATAGAAACACATGATCCGCATACGAACATTCTCGTGAACTTCGTGCATTATTAACAATATATAAGTTTATTTGTGGATTATTGTATTTAATGAACTGATAACCTGTTGATACGAAAACGTCCTTCTCTCCCCATTTTCTTATCATGGATTCGATTCCGCTTCTTGAGGCAAACAGAAAATGAGTTGCTTAAAGTACTTTTTCAATACGACGAGAACTTTCACTATCATTTTGATTCTTAAAACCTTTCTGAAACGTTTCAATGGCATTGTTGGTGATTCGCTCTATTTCAGTAAAGTCGTGTAAAGATGCGTATAAAAGTAATATTGTGATGTTCTATAACTGTATAAATAACACCAATACTTATTAATACCTTTTAGCAAATAGAAAAGTATAGTAATCTCTAAAGTATTGGATAAGTGAATGAAAAATGTGAAATGTATAGTATTATATAAAGGCCTCGACATTTTTCAACTTAAAAACATTTTAAAACATCGAGACATGCAAAAAAATTGTTTTTTCTTTATTTGTATGCATATTAGTGTCTGTGTAGTAAAAGATTTTTTCACTCTGTTTAAGGATTAATAATTCCTGTGTTTTTTGTTGAAACTTCCGACATATGACTTGAAGGTCGGGTTATTCAATGGATTAATAGTATTAAATTTTCGTGAATTAACGTCGATAGGATGGGGAAAGGAAAGTAATTGTATTATAATTCTCGAATATGGTCGGACATAATGAGGATTTTTCGTGTTATTCACATTCACAATTTTACATAAACACCATCGCTATCTTCAAAATTAAGATTTTTCCATTTTATAGCACTTAAAAACAAAAATGTTTGTAAATAATATTTACAGGTAACCCCCGTATTCGGGGGTTCGCCTGTAAATATAATTGCAACACAGTTATTGGAACGTGACCCTCGTATTTGGGGGTTACGTTCCAAAAAATTGTAGTGTTATGCGAATCCGTGTTATACGAAACAAAGAACTAGTGCGAAAAGGGGGGTTAGGTTCTAAAAATTAAAAAACATGTTGTTAAATCCTTATTTAGATCGGATTTATTATTCATTTTTTCATAGGTAAAATAGACTACTTATTTATTATTTAAGTAAATATTTTACCAGAGGATTATTCATTTTATATGATGATCTCAGCATGAGCATCATCAACTGGTAACAGTTTGTGGATGCGTTCGTTAATAGCGGTCGGTCTGCAAAGAGTATGCACTGCTGTTTGTAGGCATTTAGGAACGACGGTGAAAGAAAGATGGCGGCGACTGTACTATCGATACTATCGATAGTACACGATACATTCGATGATGAGGAATCTATAATTTTAAAATGAGCTTTTAGAGGCAAAAGAAGGGTCCCAATTGTAAAATTTAACCATTAAAATTTAAATGGATTATTTGTTGAAAGAGCATTCAAAGTAGTCAAGAAAACAATTACAATGCTCGCGCGGACTTACGCAGAGGTATAAAAGAACGCACCATTTATTACATTTTATGTTGTACGAGGGTTTTACCCAATTCTCGAACCGTGTTAGAGTGAACCCGTGCTATAAAAGCACCGTGTTATACGGGGGTTACCTGTATATACGTTACAGGTAGCATTACACGATCAGTTTGAAATGATAACGGAAAAATTAAGCAAGTTGTTGTTGGATTTTTTATTTTTTCACTTGAAAACATTAAAACTCCAGATACGTAACAGTAATATAATTATTTTATTGACTCAATGACTCGAGTACATAAGAAAAATTTTAGATATATATTTTTAATATCAATCTTAGAAGCATATATAATCGAACTGTCAAATAATGGACAGCTTTGATCTGCGGCCATTAAACTTTTTCTTGTAGAAAACGCATATATTTACCTTTTAAGGAAGGAGTTAACTCCGAATAACAGCCATGTCGCACGTCTTCTTTTGTCTTTTATGTTAGGCAGAAGCTACTAAGCTATGGTGCCTTGTGGTGAGATGTGACGTACATTTGCGATGTGACGTAGTTCGTAATGATACATATTTGTTTATACTTGGAGAGTAATGCCTTCCGGGAGGACTTCTATAAGCAACTGGTTCCTATTCAGGCGTAACAGACGTGAAGAAAACCAAGAAAACTCCACGTGGCCAGCTGGCCGCGACGAAAAGCAAACCCACGACCGAACTCCTACTGTTCAGAACGAAACTGCTTAGCCACTAGTCGGCCATGTTGTACGTTTCTGTCTGTGGCCATTATTCAACAATTTCAATGTATTAATTTATACTTAATTATGTTATAGTATATCTAATATTAAGTACACATTAATAAGTAAGAAATGAAACATACATTTTTGTTTGGAGTTACAACACTTGCAAATACATAAGCTTGATACATTTGTTAATAACGATTTGTGCTTATATAAATTTTTCAATAATTATTCTAAATACTATTTTTCAACTGATACATTATAAGTTAATATGAAAAGTACAGTGTAAGATGTCAAATTAATGTACGTTTCCACTGGCGATTTACTCAGTTTGATGATGATACAATACAGGTAGCACGTTCTTACCTTTTAAACCATTTTACTCCCATCAGGAAGTGCAACAAAAAGTATATTGCATAACATGTTATAAATTAATATTTTTATAGTATATTTTACATTTTTCATTATTTTATTTTTTAAAGTAGTGTATAATGTACCGGAATAAATCATAACTTTTGAAATATAATACACGTTCGATAATCTGGCATACATTCTATTCTAATGTGATCTACAATATTCTGCGTTATCGTTTTCATGTAGATGCTACTCATGTCTCCTGTGTTCCTAATTATTAAAATTTCGTTTTTGTATATAGCATTTTTCTCGGTGTACCATTTTATTTTTCCTCGACACAGAAATGAATCTAGAACATTGGCAAAACTTTCTCAGTCTACGAACGAGACTATCTCAATCCATCTACCACATATTAACCATTATTAAAATGCTTTAATTAGTGTAAATGAAAGGAAGTTTTTTGAAAGAAAATAAGGTAATACATAAAAAGGATGAAAAAACAACGTTCCTAAACCGAAATTACATGATATATGACATGCCATAGATGTTACTCTATGTATTAAATGTTTTCATTATCCTAATTAACTGTATGCCTAATTTCTAAGGTAAACATATCTATTTACAATCTTGCTTATTGTACATAGTTTGTATATAGTTAGTTTTAAGTTCGTATCTAGATCAAATAATTGTTGTTATTAACTTATGTACTTATTGATTTATTCTATTTTATAATCTATACTTTTTCTTTATGTATTTATTTGTATGTATGTTTATTTAAAACGTATCATTTGTTTAAGTGTACATTTCTCTTGAGTACTGAAAACTAAACGAAAGCGGGACCGGTATGTACTTTGTTTGTACAAATAAAGATGATGATGATGATGATGATGCTATTCAAACTGTAGTAGTAATTTTAACATTCGAAAAAAAAAACCTGAACACGTTGTGCATTACAACAGTCGTATAACATAAATTAATTACAGTTGTATTTCAATGTTCACTATGAAACAACGTTTTTTAGTATATTTATATATTTTTCTATAGGCCCATATCTACATTTAATTAATCATTTTCCATCCAATTCTTTGGCTTTCGATCATTAATTTACATGCAAAGAAATCAAAAACTTAACTGTTAATCGTTGAAACCTTGTTTTATTACATTTTATGAGTATTATTGCTCAAAATAGTAGAATATAATAAAACAGTTAATAAGAACAAGAATCTAGTTTAACGAATACAGCAATATTACGTTAATTTACATATTAATTAACAATATTGAATGGTCTCACTCTGCATTTTCTGCTTCTAATCATTTTTATCTTGTTGACTAGAATTTCTGTAACAAATACTACAGAAGCGATCATATATCCTGTAAGTGATAAATAGAGTAGACCCGTGATATCGTCCATTTTCAGAGGTTCTTCAGCATTAGAATTGATTATCATCGTCTTATCATCGTAGAAGTCGTTTCTTCTTTTCTCATCAAGAATGTCTCTGCCAATTTTTTCAGATAATCCATTTTGTTGAATACGAATTACTTTCTTAAATATAAATAGATACTATTATTCTTCCTTATTACACTTCTGTATATATAGAGTACAATACTTGAGTTATACAACATATCAGAGTTATTTAAGTTACATAAATTATTTATTCAAAACATATGACGAAAAAATTGTTAAATTTATTATATAGTTCAATTACATCATTTATTAAATAAAATAATTAAATAAAGAAGTTTAATGACAAATAAAATACNTATTCGTTACATCACTAATTTATACATAAATTTTAAAGCATAATAAATTTGCAAGTTCATGTTAAATCGTTTATAATAATATTAAAGTTGTATTATGTATATTAATTCACATGAATTTTATTTATTTATATATTTGTAGATTTTTTTCGAGAAAACAATAATTAGAAATGACGTAATCAAAATCTTTTATGAAAAAGTTAAAAGGAATAACGACGTGTATAAAAAACCAATTGAAAAAGTACTTAATGGAACTCACGCCGTGATAGTAGCAACACAGAAAATTGAATTGAGCATGACGAAACGGCAAAAAGAAGAGGTTTTCATCTCGGAAGACATACTTTATACGAAATTTCACTTCATACAAATAAATTTAGTCAGAGTGAATTATGCTGTTGAAATCGCTAGAGCGTAAGTACGAAAAATGTGTTTTTATCACTACAATTTTTTAGTAATAATGAACGACTAGAGATCAACGTCAGACGACACGTCATTTCAGCTAAACCAATTAGTATACTTCTTTATAATGTTATCACTTTAGTTTAATGTATCTGGTAACAATTACTATAGAGAACTTCGTGGTATTACAAGACCAGAACGTGAAGCTTCCATCACACAGTTTTGAAAGGCGGTGAGGTGTCTAACAAATGAGAAAGTAACAGAAAGTTACTTCCCACAACTAAGCGATCAATATCTGATACTTATCAATTAATAAACAAGTAGTATTTTTAATTCATATATAAATTATGGGATATTTATATCAATAATCCAAATATCCATATATATCAATTTATATCAATAATCCAATATATATTGGATTATTGATATAAATTGATATATATGGATATTTGGATTATTGATATAAATATCCCATAATTTATATATGAATTAAAAATACTACTTGTTTATTAATTGATAAGTATCAGATATTGATCGCTTAGTTGTGGGAAGTAACTTTCTGTTACTTTCTCATTTGTTAGACACGTCACCGCCTTTCAAAACTGTGTGATGGAAGCTTCACGTTCTGGTCTTGTAATACCACGAAGTTCTCTATAGTAATTGTTACCAGATACATTAAACTAAAGTGATAACATTATAAAGAAGTATACTAATTGGTTTAGCTGAAATGACGTGTCGTCTGACGTTGATCTCTAGTCGTTCATTATTACTAAAAAATTGTAGTGATAAAAACACATTTTTCGTACTTACGCTCTAGCGATTTCAACAGCATAATTCACTCTGACTAAATTTATTTGTATGAAGTGAAATTTCGTATAAAGTATGTCTTCCGAGATGAAAACCTCTTCTTTTTGCCGTTTCGTCATGCTCAATTCAATTTTCTGTGTTGCTACTATCACGGCGTGAGTTCCATTAAGTACTTTTTCAATTGGTTTTTTATATACGTCGTTATTCCTTTTAACTTTTTCATAAAAGATTTTGATTACGTCATTTCTAATTATTGTTTTCTCGAAAAAAATCTACAAATATATAAATAAATAAAATTCATGTGAATTAATATACATAATACAACTTTAATATTATTATAAACGATTTAACATGAACTTGCAAATTTATTATGCTTTAAAATTTATGTATAAATTAGTGATGTAACGAATAGTATATTCGGCCTCAGGTTGAATACCGAATATTCGGCCAGGAGCGTGGCTGGATAGCCGAATATTCGGCCAAACTATTCGGCTTGATTAACGCATTACAAAAATTGGCGCACAAACCGCATTATGGCAAGGACCCTGCTTTCTATTGGCCCGCTGTCACTATGCTTCGCCAATCCCGTTAATTCTTGTCAGTTGTAGCGGACAGACAAGAGCGTCATGGCAGTATGTGATAAATGATGATATCAAATGTGGATAACAATGAAATGACCTAGACGTGTAAATAACGAAAAAAAATACAGAGAAGGACCGCGAAAATGTGAAAATAAATATTAAATTGAGTTAATAACATAATCGAACAAGTCGAGGCGGCTTATTGGCGCGAAATTCGCTGCCGTCAATGCCAAATAATTGTTTTCATAGATTTCAGAAAGCTAAATGCTTGTAATGAAAATCACTTAGCGTGCACGGGAGAAAGCCTGGGGCCGTTCGGGCTACCAATCTGTCTCGAATCTGTAAAATCGTAACTGTGACTTATATCGACGTCCTGTCTATCTCTTTTTGTCAGGCTATGAGTCACGTAATTGTAAAATGGGAAATCTAAGACGAAAAAATGACGAATCGAAAGTATCGAGAGCGCGTATTATGATGTATGCGTAGGCATACGTAGACTAGAGCGATAGAAGAAAAAGAAAGGGAAGAGCAAAGACAAGCTCTTAAAAAGAAGGATAGGCAGGGTCGGACCCTCAGATGTGCGACGATTCTCGAACGAATAGGTGTTTACGTGTGCTGACGATTGTAATTATAAACTGTGAATATGTGTGACTAATATTATTTTCTTTTTTATTTTGTGCATGTGCATGATTTATAAGTTATATATAAATATAAACAAATAACACTAACCCGATAACATTAAATCTAAATACCAAAATGATTAATTTACTGTGTATTTGTTATTTCTTACTTCGGATTTTAGGTATTCGGTTTTCGGCCGAATAGCGGGTAAATATTCGGTATTCGGCCGAATAGCGAAAAATAGGCCGAATAGGCCGAATACCGAATAGTAACCGAATATTCGTTATATCACTAGTATAAATATATTTATTTATAATTATTTTCAAGATACAATAATTTTAGTTGTTAACTGTTTCGGTGTTTTTGTAGATGTAGATTCAGTTAAAGTATTTATGATGACTACTCTTTTAAATACTATACTAAAAAAGGTATTATGTAATATAAGTTGAATTAAGTGATACAATTTTACATTTAGTTGGCAATTTCTCTACAATGTTTAATCACATTATATAGAAACGTCTGAATTATCTGTATCGTTAATAATACACATTAAATAGGATATACACTCAATTTCCCTTCATTCAACCGCTTAAATCTTTTTCAATACCTATCTGAATTTCTGTATTTTTAATAACATGATACATACGTCGAAATTAAGTCGATTAAAGTAAGACTGTTCAGGACTGTACATGAAGTAAGTGATATTGTATCGTCCTTTTTTCACCGACTGAGCCAATTCCTGAAATGTATGAGGAATGGTTTCGGTTCCAGGATTAAGCATGAACGATGGCAAAGTGCCAACGTATGCCGATGTCAGGACAAATGTAATCAGGATCCAACAGCCAATCAGGATACGAAACGTTATGAGAAAATAGCGATCTACATCTGTATCTGAAAAATATAAATAATAATAAACGATAACAATAATTAAGTACTTACAAAAGAAACTACGTTTTAGTTTTGGAATTATCGATTTCTTATTAGAGAGGTTGAGGCGCACGTTTTAAACGTGTAAACGTGTACGTGTGACGTTCGGCGCCGCTTTCCCGTAAGCCTAAAAGTTTGACAATGGTGTTTGGATAGTCGGTGGAATCACGCTCGACATTCCAAACACCATCGTCAAACTTTTAGGCTTACGGGAAAGCGGCGCCGAACGTCACACGTACACGTTTACACGTTTAAAACGTGCGCCTCAACCTCTCTACTATATAAGTATACAATATTTTTTTGTGTCATATGTAAGCGGTTGCAGCAATTGTGCAGGGAAAATTCTAAAATAGTCGAATTTACTAAAATACACTTTTTGTCCATAAATATATTTTTGTAAATTTTTTCTAAAAAAATTAACGAAAGTAAACAAGAACTTTTAAACGAACAGATGTGAACATATTTATGACACTAATTATTATCAACTATTATTAAAAATAATGATATTGCCACGACTCGCTGGTCCCACGGAGTGAAGGTCTCCAGTTCAAACCTCATTGGTTCAAACCTCATCGCTTATTTCTTTTTGTGGGTACGTTCTCCCGTGTGAGAACATATGTAAATACAGTAGAGCGTCGATTTTCCGAAAGTTAATCATCCGAAATATAAATCATCCGAAATATTTCCAGTCGGCAAATTTAAATTTTCGCCAGTGCTGTGGCGCTTCAATCTATGGCTATGTTTTGGGCTACTCAAATATTTTACGATTTTGATACTAAATTAACATTTGAAGAATAATTTTTTATTGTTTTTATATTTTTCAATATATTTATTTTGTTTGTACAAAATAAAAAATAATTTTTAACGATACAATAGTCTTTGTTAGGCTTAACATCGACGAAAATTCAACCCGAAGAGACACGCAACGGATAAAAATTTTAAACTCGGATACGTTAAACTATTATTTCGTACATAAATCGGTTATCCGAAATATCAGTTATACGAACAACCCCAGTCCCCAATTAATTCGGAAAATCGACGCTCTACTGTACTGACAAATGTTTTTACCATGCCTCTGCAGACTATAACAGCCAGCTTTCAGGCTGAGAGGGGGTCTTGTTCTCATACTGCAAGCTGCAGAAGTTGAACATTGTCTGAGTTAATAAATAACTTTGTGTTCCTAACGACTGATTGCCGTTTGTTCCCGCGACAATATTATAATCGATTACTTATAAAAATTAGTCCACTACTCTACTTGTACATACTATTTTTGTGAAATATTCGTTTTATGAGAGTTGACATCATACATAAAATAATAATGCTCACCTTGTGGAAGAAAGTTTCTCAATATAATCCAAAATAATATGGAAAATTTTGGCATCTTCTTGTTTCTATACTTATTTTCTTTTTTCATTATTCCATACGAAGTTAACAAAATGATAAGGAAAGAAACAGGAATGCAAATCCAAATCTGAAATACAAAAATCTCAGTTTTTTTTTTAATATTAATATAATGCTGGCGAGTTTGTGCGTCGCCAGCATTTTGGCCTTGTGGTTTTTCTACTTTTCTTCGAATATCTATCACATTGATATAAAAAAAAATTTCATAATTATGTGGTAAATAAATTATAAACATTATTCCTGGAAGCATATTTTTCTTTGTCAGGTGGCTCAAATGTTGGTGGAACATTTATCAAATATTCAATATTTCCTTCTCTATGTAAATTTCGATTTCTATAGAGAAAAATATATAGAAAAACTAATAATTCTTGAAACATTACTATTACATCGAAAGGTTTTACCAAGATGAAGGCTTTATCTAAAGGTGTTGCAGCACGTATTGCAAATGTAGTTGGAATGTGACTTATCGAAGAAGAATAAGACAAGTAAGTTTCTTTGATATTATGACTATAAATGGCGATGTCTGCCTAGTAAATAAAATTTAATTATAGTAATACGTTTCAAAACTGTACAATTGCAGCATATATATTCAATACCTGTTTTTTGTAATATATCATTGTAAACCTGAAACGAAAGTAGTAAAATGAATTTAACACATTTAATATCATTTACTTATACAGTGGTACTTCAGGTTACGAACGCCCCAGCATACGAAATTTTCAGGATACGATATGAAATTCGAACATATTTTTGCTCCACGATACGAACAAAAACTCACCATACGACGTTACATTAGTTCGTATTTTTCATTTGTTTTTCTTACTACAGTTATTTTTTTAAATGTATTACTTGGCTTTAATTTGAGTATGTTTTTCGCGTTGGAACGAATTATTTGGTTTTACATGTAATCGTATGGGAAAAGATGATCCACCTTACGACATTTTCATGATACGATCTCAGTTCGGAACGGATTAATTTCGTATCCTGAGGTACCACTGTACTATATAAAAAACATACTTAATATGAAATACACTTTCTAGTAGGTTAATATATCTCGGAATAAATGGATTACATTTCTTGTTTGTGAAATATTACTAAAAAAATAGTTGTTATAATTATATAATTTTAATTACTGTTCTGGCATTAAATTAAACAAATACATTTAATTAAACGAGCATGATTCCACTGATTTTCCAGACAGCCACAGGAAAAAAAACGTTTCTCTAATGCGAAACGTTAAACAGAATAAAAGGAAACTATAAAAAATAATATAATTACATTACTTTTCTGTTAAAGAACTGAAAATTGACTGAAGGTATTACTAAAAAATAGCAAAAAATTTCAGGTTGTAAGCTAAAAATATAAGTAAGCTATAATTTAGCATACAAAAAGTGAGCAAAAAGTATTAATATTTTTTTGTAAGAAAATCCAGGATGAGTGTAATATCTTTTAAAATATAACGTATAGTTATATACAGATATTTTCAAACCGAAATACAGTGAATTTTAAACCTACATACAAAATTCATATTGTATTTGAAATACTGAAACATAATATATATACACAATGTTATCTAATTTTAAATTGTTAAAGATAAGAACATATATACGTTAGATTTATTTATACTTACGTAACTTATACGAACGTTTATTCTTTCCAGTATTAACCATTTCTTTTCGATTATTTTTGTCTTATTGTACATTTTACGGAAAGTAATTTCATAATCTTTGCACTGAAACGTTTAATAATAACAACAATTTAAGGAAATAATTTATTAAATAGGTTAAAATAGTGTGTATCTTGAGACCGTATCTTCTTTTATCTGTTTTTATTGTCACGACTAGGTGCATAGATAGACACTGGACATTTCTACATCATCTTTATTCAGAATGTCCTATAGGCAGATAGGAATTTCAGGCATAAGCCACTCATCTTTCGGCATGACTTCCGGGATTTCTTGTAGGTGGTGTTGACACGTATACATTCCTCTTAAAGAATCAATACCACCTGCAATATACGTGCACCTAGTTGTGACGATAAAAATAGGTTACTAACATATAATTGCAATAATAATAAAAACAAGCTTAATAATATTATACTTACAGTAACGTCATTCAGAAAAGTGAGTAAAACTTGTTATATAGCAAGTTATTTTTCATTAAAAGTAATAACCAATAAAAGTGGGAAATCCATTATTAAAACTAAGCGATAAAAAATTTAAAACAAATTTTTGGGAATGGTGTGCTTCAACTATGTCGATCGATTTCAACAATCCATTTGCCTTCATTGTGGGTTTAGCTGATCCGACGATGACAATGAAACGACTGGTGATTTTTTATGCACAGAAAATCAAATCATTTTACATTCACAGAAGTGGCCATAGTTAAAATATCCCTATTGAAAGTACATTATACTTCCTTCTACCTGTATAAAAACCTTCCAAATCTTCAGTGATACTCGTTTAAGCAAACGTTTTCGACCCTACTAGGGTCTTCATCAGGCCACCGTTACAAAAATTCAAACAGTGCGAAATCGAACAGGAACCAAATAACTGCGATTCAAATATTCGAACTTCAACGTTAATATCAAAAATAGAACACCACGCTCTTGTAGCGATGTCGTCAAAGCACGCGCAACCTGCGCTTGCAATAAAACCATATTACACCTAATTATGTGTGGGGTGTTCCTTCGTAGCAAAACTTCCACGCACTAGAGATGCTGACTGCGTCTCTGGAGTTAATACATGTATTGTTTAATCCCACTTTATACATTTCTAAGGTCTCCATGATTCTTAGTTGGTCAGTACGGTGTGATAGCCTAACTAGAATTGCATTCTGCAGATCCATCGTAATTCCAGGCTCCGTGGCTACTGTTGAAAGGGTGGTGGAGTGTTTATTGTTATCAATATCATACTTATGCTCCTTAAGACGTTTGCGGAGGGAGCGTTTGGTTGAGCCCACATATACTAACTTATTATTAAATTATTATTATTATTATTATTATATACCAAGTTCTTACTGTATCCATGCTGTGTGGCTATTTCCTGGATATGCTCCAGCTCAGCTATGGTATCTTTCCATTCAGAATGGTGGGTGAAGGCTCTCTTAATCAATGCCCGAATAATGGGATTTCGTTCAAAGTGTTTTACAAAAAGTGTTATGTACCAATGTTCATCCCAGCTAACTCGGAGGATCCTTACTCCTATAAGATAGCTGCATTTCGGGCATTGACTAAGAGAGCCTTCACCCACAATTTTGAATGGGAAGATACCATAGCTGAGCTGGAGCATATCCAGGAAATAGCCACACAGCATGGATACAGTAAGAACTTGGTATATAATAATAATAATAATAATAATTTAATAATAAGTTAGTATATGTGGGCTCAACCAAACGCTCCCTCCGCAAACGTCTTAAGGAGCATAAGTATGATATTGATAACAATAAACACTTCACCACCCTTTCAACAGTAGCCACGGAGCCTGGAATTACGATGGATCTGCAGAATGCACTTCTAGTTAGGCTATCACACCGTACTGACCAATTAAGAATCATGGAGACCTTAGAAATGTATAAAACGGGATTAAACAATACATGTATTAACTCCAGAGACGCAGTCAGCATCTCTAGTGCATGGAAGTTTCGCTACGAAGGAACACCCCACACATAATTAGGTGTAATATGGTTTTATTGCAAGCGCAGGTTGCGCGTGCTTTGACGACATCGCTACAAGAACGTGGTGTTCTATTTTTGATATTAACGTTGAAGTTCGAAGATTTGAATCGCAGTTATTTGGTTCCTGTTCGATTTCGCACTGTTTGAATTTTTGTAACGGTGGCCTGATGAAGATCCTAGTAGGGTCGAAAACGTTTGCTTAAACGAGTATCACTGAAGATTTGGAAGGTTTTTATACAGCTAGAAGAAAGTATATTACCTCCAGTATTTGATAGGAATTTCAGTTGGTACATTATACTTGTGAGTGATAACTGGATTTACACCAGAATTTATATACAAGCTATGCATAGAATGAGGAAATAATTTTGCAAAGGAAAAAGAGTTTCAATCTTTCAGTTAGATGGCTTTTTATAAAACTCTACACGGGTGTGTAATTTTTTAACACTACAAAATCTCATGTATTGTTTCTGTAGTGGACATGCTTTTCAGACGAGTGCTTACTGATTAACAGAATATTTCTGAATGTGTGACCTAAAATTTCATGATGATTGTCTAAGGGTTTGCATCCGACTGCAGTTATGTTCCAGTGAGGATTCGCACGTTCAGTATAATACTATGATTTAAGTAATCCAAAGTTGCAACATTTCCGAGCAATGAATGGAAATTGCCTCCTTTCGAATCTTTTATAACTAAATTTTTTTTTTGCAACATTTTTCCGCAATCGTTGAATAATATGTCCAGGAATTTGGCTATCAGTTTGTATACTAGTTAGAGCTACAGAGTACTCTGAATAGGAAAACTTTAAACATAATGACTTTGTATATATGTTAAAGTCTATTATCCTTTATTTAACAGAATATCTAGTTATATTATACAATACTTAATTAAACAGGCCCGTTAGAGTGTATAATTTTCTAACACGTAATAATATCGTATTACATAACGTAACGATTATCGCTCAATTAAAGTATAAAATATTAATCGTTTTTGTTTGTAAAGGACAAGGAGTGATATCAGTGATAAAGATAACAAGTTGGAGCTATTTAAACCAATGTTGTAGTAAATTCAAGTTATTAATTCAACCAAATGATCGCCTTAAACCAGTGATGGGCAAACTTTTTAAAGAGCGGGCCAAAGGAAAAGAAGAAAACTTTAGGCGGGCCAATATAATTGTAACCTAGCGCTGCATCTGAAAATCCAGGTGGCGCTATAAAAACATGTGCAGGCCGTCCGCCATATTTCTTTTTCTCTCTTTCGGCTACGCTACGCACGACGAGTGGATGTTCTGTACCGAAGCATGCTTGTAACCGATCGAGCTTTTACTCAATAGGTGTAAAACAAAATGTTGTACATGATTGTAAATAAACTTTCATGGTGAGATATAAAGCTTCGGTTATTTTATACAATCAACGAACACTCAAGTTAAGTGGTGCATCAACCACCACAGCCTGTATTCTTTTTTACTCGTCAGATTAGGAATAATGTCGCGCGGGCCGGATAGAACATTTCAGGGGGCCGCATCTGGCCCGCGGGCCGTAGTTTGCCCATCACTGCCTTAAACAATTGGGTTTTAAGTTAGCTTTAATTTACGATTAGATACCAAGTGATTTCGATACTAAAAGTACAGTACGTTTTAACATGTCATAATATAAAACATTATGTGATATGAAAAAATTCATGTCTTTTTTTTTATTATGTATCCATCATAAGAGGAGCATACGTCCGAAACTCGTATTGGCTCACAAGATATTTTTGAATAAATGGTCATGTCAAAGATGCCCAGTATCCATCTTTGCATTCAGTTGTGACAGGAAAAAAACCATTTCAGAATAAACAAAGATATGAAATTGTTTCTCAATGTTCGCAAGTTATGCCAAAAAAGGAGAACTAAAGGTGTTGTATAGCGAACGGTATTTTCATATCTGAATTAAGATGTAAGTAGCTCTAATAGATTTTCAGTCTCAACCTGATAGAAATTTAAATTTATTTTAGTGTACCAAAATCATTCGACTAAGTTGGTAATTTTAAGGTCCCTCTGAACAAAGAGGGCCAAAAGCGTTAGTATACACTTACTTGATATACTGCTGTTTCTGGATGCACCCTGCATCTTCCTCTCTGATAATTGCCGTGAATTTGGCAAAAAGCCTAAAGAAGAATTGAAAATATCTTGGAGAAAACTTAAAATTATACACGGGAAATCAATTGAAAGTCAGAGCCAAGAAAGCGTAAGGTAAGCCATCCAAGACATAGAAAATATGCTAACAACATGGATGCAACACAATGTCCATCTTAAAGTAACTGTCTAAAATGTATTAAATTTGTGAAAAATAAAACTTTCCACTCTGACATAAAGACATCACCTTACGAGGCTATGTTACTGTGTGCAGCCAAGTGAGATTGTCAACAACTCCCATACCGAGGTAAACGTAAGATGCATTGAATAATGATGATTTGCCAGATGCCCTATCCGCCACACAAAATAAAGACACTTTGGTTGAAGATGTCATATCTATATTATGTGACATTTGCTTAAGGACTCTGAGAATCACCTAGAAAGCTACATTTCAGAAAATGAGTTTGATCAGATCTGTAGATTACGTTTAAATAAACTGACTGTCCAAAAGAAAATAGAAAAAGTCAAAATATATTTGGAAATTTAATGCAAATAAAATGAAAATACTGTAAAAAATATCACATTCTGAGCCATGTGAACAAATGACGGTTTCAAATCAAATTAATTCTGAAATCTGATAAAGATAAAACATAAGCATATTGCCTGAAGAACCCAAAACTGAATGTGAAGAAGCCATAAGAAGAAGTGTTTATGAACATCAACTCTTAGAATTCTAATTATTGCATTATATTTTTATTTTGATATATAATTATAGTCATAATTAAAGTAATTTGAATTTCCATTAATACGTTCAAATAAAACAATAGATTTTTTACTTCGATGAGATATGACAGCTCGAGATGTAATCGAGCTGCTCGAAAGGGCACCTCCAGAAAAGACATTTTATGAAAAATTGTCCTCATTTGGGTGCGTTATCGGGACGAAAACTCTGAAATTCAAACTACTAATAATTATGCAGTGAAAACTTAAAGTATGAAATGTATAATCAATATAAATAAATAAAAAATATGATTCACTTACAATTTTAACGTAACTTTTTTCTACTTCCATAAAAGAAGAATTTTTTACTCTTTCAGTAAACGCAAAACGTTGATCACCAGAATTATAAAACAAAGTAACTTCATTTAAAGAACGAATATACTCTTCCACAACTTGCACGATGTATTCCTTCTGAATGAATATGCTTGGAATAGATTCTGAAGGTTTACGTATAGAAGGTTTACGTATTTGTAAAATTACTTTAATCAAAAGAATTTAAATATGTATATAAATAAAATCTTGTTTCTTTGTCTTTTATAAAATATTTATTCTTAAACTGATCAGTATTAAAGTTTGTACCTGTATTTTTCAGAACCTAAGCTAAATACTGCCCATAAACATTGATTAATATCTTATATATAATTTTTGTTTTTCTTAACATCTAACGACTCGAACACTTTCCCCTGTTAGAAAACTTTTCGGAAAATTAGCGATTTTACGTGTTTGAAATTTACGTCTTATAAATCTTATTTCTTATTAACTAAAACATTGTGTAGTTTTTCCACATATTTCTCAAGCCTCATTTCTAAAATAATGTTGTATTTACTTTGAATAGAAGGAATTGTTCATAAAAATATTAATTATAATAAAATAACATTTCCAGAACATACAAATGACCTTTAATTTAAACGATAGAAACATGATGCAGTAATTCTCATAAAATGTCAGCTTTATTTTCTATAAATTATCATGAACAATAAAAACAATTTAATTCTATGTAGTAAGAAAAATGCAAAAGTAATACTTACTATCAAGCCTATGTTGAAATCGTGGATTAGCAATATAAGTAATCAGTAGAAAACTTAGCTCCAATTGAAGTATCATGTCGAATATTGTTCTATATCAAAATAAATCAAAACCATAAACAATCCTTTAATTATTTTTAAAACATAGAATAAATATTAATGCGTGGCATTATCTTTATGGTGTGATTCTGTAAGTTAAACGATATTCACAATTCTTTGTTAAAAATTATTCTCTGAGCAGAATTCACTATTGGAATAAGCCGTGATAATACTCCATATACTGAAAAAAGCTAAATAACGAGATTAGAAACTAGGAGTATAAAACCATCTTTTGCTTTTAACTATCTGGCATAAGCGGCCGGATGGCCGAGCGGTCAAGGTGGTAGCCTACCGCTTTGGGGAACCCGTTCTCGAATCCGAATGGGTCAAAAAAATCCCCAGGAATTTTTCAAATAGTGGTCCGTTCAGATATGTTGGGTCCCGTCCCTCACCACCCGGCAGCCCCATTGTGGGCCTGGCCGAACCCATAATGGGCTTGCAAAAAGAGGCCCTTTTAGTGCCCACAGGTCGGGAAGAGATTTAAAAAAACCATCTGGCACACCCATTAATAGATCAATTTGTAAAACCAAAGAGCATAAATTTCGGATTTTGGCCTAACACGCAAACGGTCTCGTAGAAATTTCCGCGTACTCTTCACGTTTTTAATATATGTACTAGGATCAGATTCCCAGAGAATTTTTTTTTCGCAAGCATCAAACATAGGCAGATTGCATGTGTATTGCATTGCTTTACTTTGTCGATCTAATCTAATTGATTCTCCTAACGTACAACTTACGGATTTTTTTTCACAGAGAAGTATAAAATTCTAACAAATCCCGCACCTTTCTGAACAAAAATAAACAGAATAGAAAGGAAATAGTATATTATAATGTAACCTGTAAAGTTATATTTTTACGTTAATGTTGCATACAGTTACTCTTTTTACAAAGAAGTAACTGTACATTTAGTAGGTTGCAATAGAGAAAATCGATTAATAAAAGTAAAATTCTCTTCACACAATAAATCATTTTATTTATTACATATTTATAAACAGCAGAAATAAACAGTAAACAACAATGTTTCAATTAATTGTATTCTTTACAAATACAAAATAATGCATTTAAATACATTAAGAAATTACTTTTTTTAAAAAAAATACACTAAGAGTTAACGGAGGCACTATTTGTCAAATTATGTCTCGGGACCTTTTCTAACTAACTGGAAAACAGAAAGTTTACATTGACAAAAATATTCTATATAATAAGACCCGCCAAAATAACGTATGGGCGGTTAATCATGGATCAATAAAGAAGTGCACAAATTGTATTTAACCTCCATAATTTAGAAATTTTAACTGAATTAACTTGATTTTTATCACAATGAATCGAGTTAACTAGATTCTGCAGTAAACTTGTAAAATAGTTATATAGAGTATACACACACACATATATATGTTAACCTATAAATATTATAAGAAATTATTTTAAATTTTACGTATAATACTGCAAATACACTCACATTCGGTGTAGGAGACTTCAAAGTACTGAAATGTATTTCAGTATAGTTTAATTTAATATACTCACAAATTGATTTTCTTTGCCACAACCGACGTAGATGTTAGAGAGAGAACATCAATGTTTTCTTCTAATTAATCAAAAAATATTCAAATTATATTGTACAATTTTAATTAAATTTTATTTCAAAACTTTTACGAAAAATAGAAAAGCTATTGTTCTTCCAATAGTTTTATTCAAATTACATTCATTAACTTAAACTAGGTGTACATAATTATTCACTTATTGTGCATGGAATTAGAACATAAAAAATATTCAAATTATATACCATGTGACCCAATTTATGCCAATACCACATTCTCGAAAACCTCTTGTAAGTCAATCTTATTAATAGAAATAAGCTTTTCCCATTATTTCTTGACTGAAAATTTTACTTCATTCCACATAATCCAGTCATACCATCCATACATCCCAATCAAATAAAGTGCTAAAACTAAATATTTACCTTTGAACTAATGACTAAGTAAAATAAAATAATTAAAATGAAAGTTTTGACTACGTTATTCACCAATATAAAATAAATTAATATGAAACAAGAGAAACAAATATGACAAATAAACAAACATGAAAATTATTTGGTTTGAGTATATGTCTCTTTAATCTGAATCAATAAAAACCCGGTAGACTTCCTCTCAGATATAAGGTTAGTAGTATAAATATGACATAGTCAATTTAAAAAAATACCTAGCATCATAAGTCGGAAAGTATCATGTAGTTACGATAATAATGTTGGCGAATCTGGATAAAAGTAATGAAAACATGACGTATGTATTAGGGATTGTATACTGGTTTACCGATAAATTGACAAAAAAATATTCGGTAAATGAAAAATTCATACTAGAAATTTTTATGTAGAGAATACTGTGTTTATAAATATTTAAAAGGGCTAAAGGAACATTGAAAAAAAAAAATACAGATAAGTGTAAGCAACAATATACCTAATTATTAATTTTATGTGAGATATTNTTTTAGGATTTAATGTATCATTTTCTTCACGCGGAATATTTTTCCTCGAAAAACAGTGGGATGTATACTAATTATAAATTATTTATCTTGAAAGTAAAATTAATTTTTATTACATATTATGATACTTTTCGTCTTAAAAATTTACTTGTCTTTAGAAACAGATTTCATAAGTAATCTTAATTTTACTATAAAAAGCAATCTATTAAAAATTCTCAAGCAGAGTATACATTTTTCATTGCTTTTTTTTTATCAATTTAACACTATAGAAGAAATGGCCGGTGTAGCAAGAATACAGAATAGCATAATGAATATTTTAAAATAATATGTTTTGCCCATTTTTAAAATGTAACGATTTTTCGATTATTTCAAAAGGGGTACGGTAGCTGTACACTTAATCCGTTGTCATAGAGAAAATCGATTTATAAAACTAATGTTTCTTTTCACGCAATATTACCAATCATTTCATTTATTGCGTGTCTAGGACAGCAGAAATAAATTAGAAAGAACAGTGTTCCAATAAACTATATTGTTTCAAATATGAAATAATACATTTATAGAGACTACATCATCTATTCGTTATTTAAAAGTAATGACTTAATACATAAAGTGAATCGAAAGAATTAAGTGAGGCCACCAAGTTGTCATCTA